GTGTGCATGTGTGTGCCTGTGCGCGTGTGTGTGAGTGTGTGCGCGTGTGTGTTTGCGCGCGTCTGCGCGTGTGCCTGCGGGTGTGAGAATATGTGTGTGTGTGCGTCTGTCTGTGTGCGGGTGTGTGCATGTGTGTGTGTGTGCATGCGCATGTGCGTGTGTGTCTGTGTGTGCTCCTGCACGTGTGCGTGTGTGTGTAGGTGTGAGCGTGTGTGTGTGCTTGCGCGTGTGTGCGTGTGTGCAGGTGTGAGCATGTGTGTGCGTGTGTTCCTGCGGCTGTGCGCGCGTGCACGTGAGCAGTCGTCTGCACCAGCGGGTGCTTGGTGCCTGCGCGCGTGCGCTCGGGCGTATGCGTGTGTGCACGCCGCAGGGTCTGGCTCTTCTATTCTGGGAGACGGGCCGGTGTGAGGGTGGGAACAGATGTCCTCTCACAGACACTGACTGAGCCCAAAATGTCGGGACGCCCTCGTGTTCGAGATGCCTCTCCATTCTGGCACAAATACCCACTGTTCTGCCCCCAAGGTGCACATTCTGGGTAATTTAAACTCACTGCAGGAAGAGGGCTGCAGCGTTTATTCTGCCTGTCAAGAAAGGAGTCTGTATTGCGTGAGTGGCGGGATTATTAATTGGCATAGAGTTCACATCATCGCATCTTAATATAAACCTACGAAAAAACGTCAATAGATATTAGTCGTCATCCAATTCAGATGGTAAGAATTAATTTAGCCCCGATCAGGGTAAGGAGTGAAGTACGCTGAAATCGCAGCAAAAAAAAGGACAAATTGGTCTTACAACTGTATTTGTAACGGCCATTACACTACACATATTAGTAGTAACAATTACTGTTACTATAAGACTTATTAAAAGATTACTTTTAATATTATTGCCTATTGTTAATACTATGCTATTACAATAATTACAACACCTCATATAATAATAAGATATAGTACTTTGATAATAATATCACCATCATTATTCTTATTCTGTAACACTGTATCTATGACACAAATATCAATACTGTATCTATAACACACACCGTATCTTATAGACTGTATCCTGTCATCAGCTGACAACCTGTACGGAGAGTTTAATTGTGTTTAAATTCCTAAAGAAATATTGTCGGCTACAGCTGACACATAGCGGAACTCTGACTCGGGGGACAGTGGTGTGAAGTGAGACCTCGGGCTGTGCCGCCACGTCCCTTCCTGCGGATTCGGTGTGGCCCAGGAGGACCAGGGAGAGCCGGCACAGGAGGGGTGAGGACGGGGGACGCATTCCTTTCTACAGCTCTGGCGGAAGGACACCGATCTAATTACAGCAGCAACACTGACTCATATCTGCAGCAAAAGGGACACAAAATGACTGCGGAGCAGCCCAGAGAGGCTGAGAACTATTATCTGATCAGAGCACACAACCCTGCATCCATAACACTGTGTCCCTAAAACTGCATCTTCAACACACACTGTGCCTGCAACACGCAGTGTCTATAATACCTTATCTGTAACAAACACTGCATTCAGAGAGCAATAGAGCTGCAGAGAGTATTAGGGCTAGCGCAGCACAACTACAGTGTTATGTGTCTCTAAAACACACTTTGTCCACAAAGCTATATCTGTGACACAAACTGTTTGTCAGCACACACTGCCTTTTTAACATTCACTGTGTCTGTAACACTGTATCTATAACACACACTGTATCTGTAACACACACTAAGTCTCTAACACACTTCTATTACACTGTATGACACACAGTTATCTTTACTGTATCTAAAACACACACTAGGTCTGTAACACACTGGATCTATAACACTTCTATAACACTGTATCTATAACACACACTGTATCTGTAACACTGTATCTGTAACACACACTAGGTCTGTAACACACTGGGTCTATAACACTTCTATTACACTGTATGACACACAGTTCTCTACACTGTATCTATAACACACACTGTATCTATAACACACACTAGGTCTGTAACACACTGGATCTATAACACTTCTATTACACTGTATCTATAACACACACTGAGTCAGTGTCACAATGGGTCTATAACATTGTGCCTGTAACACTGGGGCTATAACACTGTATCTATAACATATACTGCATCAGTAATATTGATTCAATAACGCTGCATCTGCAACATGCATTAATTTGGCATTTTTACCATGCCTGCCCTCTCAAGTTAACTGAATTCCATGCGTTTACTGAGCATCTCTTTCAGTAGACTATAATAAGATGATGTCTTAAAATGGTAAAGCAGTATAACCTTAAAAATGTGAAAGCTGAATTATGTTTACCATCATAATCAGCTATGGTAACTTCCAGTACTTAAAGGAATGTCCTTCACTGACTGGCTGAAGGAACTGAACTTTCAGTTTTTTGACCTTCCCCTGTTTAGTCTTGGGCACACCTGATACACGTATTCAATCTCCTGGTGCTGACAAAGTCAAGGAACAGCCCGACACGAACCAGAGGGCACAAAGCAAGAACAGGAGGCACTTCCTGATGCAAAGGGTTGTGGGAGAATGGAACAAGCTACCCAGCCCTGTTGGGAATGTGACCTCACACATGCCTATAAAAGAGGCCTTTCTCAAGAGACGATATGGGTTGGTGCTCAAGGTGCAGGTCGCATTACACTGGGAGGTTCCCGGTTCACATCCTAGCTCTGCCCCATCACCCTGGGTGTGTTACTGCTCCCCCTGTGCTCTGTCCTTCAGGGGTGCTATCAAACAGAGTCCTGCTGGCAGCTTCCATGCAAAACCAGCCTCTTAGTCATCGAAGATTTGACATGTTCACCGCTTTGTGTAAAGAAAAACAGTGAACTGCCGATGTCCTGTCCCTGTCGCTCAGACTTAAAGCCTTTTTGTGCCAGACTGGCCTTTTCGTCTGACCAGCCCTCTAATTCGTATTAATAATGCTTTTTGTCACACGGCTCCAGCCTCACAGACGCAGGTAAGTTCTCCCCCAGGAGGACTGGCAAAGCTCCCACTGTGAAGCCATGTGGCTAATAGTAATTAATACAGCTCCTGGAGCATGTGTAATTAAACTCAGGTGATACTAATTAATCCCAGGCTAAACAAATGAAGCGTATCGTCAACAACAGAGGAGAAAAAGGGATTGGGTATTGAAGTCGCAGACTCTGAAATTGGGATTGGAAAACTGGCAGTATAACTCGTACAATTCATGCTGGTGCTGCTAGATGCACTTCTGACCTAATGTCACCCACTCCAGTAATCTACTCTTCCATAAAAATTGCATTTGTATACTGTAGTTACTAGCGTCACTCACTG